GAATAAAAAAGACAAAGAGACAGTAGGAAAGAAGAGATAATAAAAAGATCAGTCCAGGAGACTCAGCATCTGCCTAATACAATTCCAGGGAGAAGAAACAGGGAATACAAAGGTGAGGTACATGCAGTTCCAGATTTAAAAGACCTACAGAGTGAGCAGAACGATAAATACAAAAAACAAATCCCGGTAAGGTACCTCATTGTGGACTTTAGATGGTGAGACACAGAGAACGAACCATCAAACTTTCCAGAGAAAGAAAAACAAAGGCAAGGAACGCAGTCAGACTTCTCAAGCACAGTGTGAACTGGAATCCTGCATGGAAATGATTTTCCTCCTAGAATTCTACATGCAGCTAAAGAATAGAATTAAGACATTTCATAATTAAACATCTCAAAACAGGTAACTTGTATGTACTCATTTATGGGAAACTATAAGATAAAGGGCTTTTCCTCCCTGGAGGCTTTCCGTGTCCCCTGATTGGAATTCTCAGCCCCCCAATCCCAGAGTGTGGTGCTCAACAACTTAATGTTTGACTTCATCCTGGAGGAAAACATGGGCCATGTCTGATCACCCTTGTACTCTCCGCAAGGGCTCAGCCTGGTACATACCTAACGGAAAGAACTCAAGAAGCACCTGTTGAATCTTCATCAGCCAGGAATACCTTTTAGACTTTCTCTGTCGTTTAAAAACTGTATTCCACAAGCAACAACTGCCCCTTTTTACACTGTGATAGAGTTTAAAATGTTTCAAATGGAAACATGTGCACAATTTGAGTGCACTGGTCTTGCTTTAGTAAAGCTTTTTAATACTATCTGTTTGGAGCAGGGGCGACTGCAAGGTTAGTAAATTTTCTCTGTAAAGGGCCACATAATACATATTTTCAGTTTTGTGGACCATGTTTCTCTTCCGCGACTCCTCAGCATGGCCATTGTAAAGTGAGAGAGGCCATAGACAACATGGAAACGAACAGGCATCTCTGTGTTCCCGTAAAACTCTACCTATGAAAGCCAGCAGCCACTGGACTTGGTCCGCATGCTGTCATTCGCTGACACCTGGACGAGAGTAATGCTTTATTTATTCCCACCATCTTCACAGGAAAGAAGTTTCTTAATACCTCGACGTAGCATTAATAATTTGGTTTTTCCATTTTTCTCTCTTAAATCTATCCTCTCTCTGGAAGTTGAATCAATACTCAATCAAAAATCGAGATTATGCTCTGAGAGAGAAATTCTCTTTTCAGAATATCCCTGCTTTAAGAACTATGGGAAGGTACACTGCCTTTCTCCACTTTAAAGCCTAAGCTTCTTTTAGGTTGGATGAAAATCACTTGCTCTTTGAAACTGTGGTCTCTGCTTTTCCAATCAAGGGTGGCTTAGGCTGCCTTACAGAGCAAGCCCCATAAGAATGCTGCCATGGGGAACTGCTGTTTGCTGAGAGTTTGACACATAAGCCCTTCAGACAAGCGTTGTTTGGCTGCTTATGGTAGATTAAGAACAAGATCCTTTGTTTCCAAAAGAAATCAATGTTTGTTCTTAAGTTCAAAGAAAACCAACTGTTCTAAGGACGATATGAGGACACGGACTCCATTCCAGCCGCCAATTATCTGCAAACACAGCAGAAGCAAAACCCACGTCTACCTAGCATGGAGAATTAGTCTTAGGCGATCCCTCAGTCCAGAACTCCCCTGCCCAGCCACTCAAGTCCAGCCTACGAAATTGATTTCTTAAGGAAAAAAAAAAAGAGTGTTTATATCAAAATGGGAGTCCACTTAGGTCACCCCCTCTGAGATGCAGTCACATCAACTACTAGGCTTCCTGTTAGCTACTAAGAAATCCAGAAAACAGCACTGGGGTTTTTTTAAGTGGATATGGCACTCCCTCCAAGCCAATCACTAACCTGTCATTTAAAAAAAAATGAGAAAATAAATGAAAATACCACCATCAAAGCCCAGAGGCTGAGTAGAATTCTGTGTCTGCCAAGGAGTAAAACTGTGTAACATTTTAAGTAGCATCATAAGCAAAGGATCTAATTGCCTCTGCCAAAAAGCTGGTCTAGCACCGATCAGACGTCAGCCACGCATTTGACAACGCAGCCGAAAGCCAGCCATGTCAGAAAATGCTTCCTGGTGGTTGGAAGGGAGGATGTGCATCTAAAATCGACATTTTTGTGGGGCCCAGGTTCTAATCTCCGATGTCCAGTAGCCTGACAGCTTGAGAGATTCACATGACAGCTATTTCGTTCCCAAGTTCAAATGCAACAGTAGACAGTAAATTGTGCTACAGTCCCCCACCAACCATTCTGAAAGCCAATATTAAGGTTTTTCTTAGAGTTTCACTTCTTGGGTGCTTTTACTTTCTGAAGCCCCTTAAGATTCAGCACCAAGTCTTTGGGAGGACAGAAAGTGACAGGAGGGAGAAGGGAAGAATGAAAGAAGGAAGAGAAGGAAAGGAGAAGAGAACAAAGGAAGAAAAAAGCTAAGAGAACTTCAATGACTCTACCAGATGACAGATGGAGAGCAGATGGGAGCTGATCCCAGGTGAATACTATTCCAGGTACCTCTAAACAATGCCAGCATGGGACTACCTGGAAACAAGGAGACAGTAACTCAATACAGCAGGAATTCCTCCAGCTGGTAACTACAAGTCCTCCAAAACAGGTGATCACTTAAAATGGGACTTCATAGAGAAAAAAACATATTTAGGGAGGAAGCAACTCCAAATGGGTGTTCTGCCTTAAGTCATAGGAATGGCTGGAGCCTACAAGAACCCTGAGCCTTTTTTTTTTTTGAGACGGAGCCTCACTCTGTTGCCAGGCTGGAGTGCACTGGCACGATCTTGGGTCAACCTCTGACCCCTTGGTTCAAGCTGTTCTCCTGCCTCAGCCTCCTGAGTAGCTGGGATTACAGGCATGCACACCAAGCCCAGCTAATTTGTGTGTGTGTGTTTTTAGTAGAGATGGGTTTCACCATGTTGGCCAGGATGGTCTTGATTTCCTGACCTCGTGATCTGCCCACCTTGGCTTCCCAAAGTGCTGGGAATACAGGCATGAGCCACTGCACCTGGCTGAGCCTTTCTTTTATAAGGACACCTGCCACTGGGCTTAGGGGTCACCCTAAATCCAGAATGATCTCATCTCAAGATCTGAACTTAATTGCATGTGCCAAGATCCTTTTCCTTTTCCTTTTTCTTTTTTGGCATGTAAATCAATGTTCATTCTTTCAAATAAAAATATACATAGCGAAAGGATTATGACAGTCAAACAAGTTACCATATCCATCTCATCACATGGTTTATTTTTTTGTGATGACAGCACCTGAAATCTACTCTCTTAGCAAATTTCCAGTCTACAGGGTCGTATTATTATCAAACAAGACCCTTTTTTCAAATAAGGTCACACTCACATGTTCCTGGGGCTGGGACTTAAACGTATCTTTTTGGAGGCAACTACTCAACTCACCACAGTTTCCAACAAACTAGAGAAGAAAATTATTTACTTAAATAAACATGGACTGTAAATGTTTTGTTGTATTTGATCATTGAAAGTCCCAAGACAGCAGGAATTCCTCTAGCTGGTACCTACAGATATTCCTGTCAGAGCTGGTGTCCTTAGACAAGTTACCAAGCCTGCTTGATCCTCAGAGCCCTTGTGTGTGAAACTGAGACAATCCCCCACCTGGTAGGTTGTTGTGCAAGTTGACAGTGATTCATTTAGAGTGTCTGCCCCCAGCTAATGTGTGGTTGACAGGCCCTAGTCTTCAACGGCTTTGAGCAACATGTCCAACAGCCACTCCCCAGGAAACAGCGTTCAGTTATTTCTTGATTCAGCCATTAGTAGGATGTGTCTCAGGTATTTAGGGAAAAAAAAGAGGCTAAAATAGCAGGCTTGCTAAAGGTAAATAATAATCAGACTTGTGGGAGAATTAAGGACTTGGCATCATGAGAAGAGCCTGTCATATTCAAGATGGTCACTTGTGACCATAGTTCTCCAATTATCCCAGGAATCATCAACTTAAATACACCATCTCTCACCACCTGGGCACTCCCCAGGACACGAGCGGCATCTTATTTATCCTTGCATCCCCCATGCCTGGCACAGTGCCTGGCACCTGAGTCATGCAATATGAACTGACGGATGGATGATGACATGAGCCAGAACGCTCAGGAAACTTCAGCTCTGATCATCAATAATCATGTAGATAACTACTGTTTATTGAAAGTCACAATACTAAGTGCTTTACATATACTGCATGGATTAAATAAGATAATTTATGTTACCATTTTGGCAGAGCTGCTGCTCCAGAAATGGGAGGGATCATCACCACTTATTTTAATCCTCATTCCAACCCATAAAGGAGGCATTCTTATTCCCGTGTTATAGCACGAACTGAGGCATAGGGAGGTGAAGTCCCCCAGCTAATACCTGGCAGAGCCAGGGTTTGTTAGACTTCAAAGACCTGTGTCCTTTTCAGCTACATTGCACTGCTTCTGACTCACAGTATTAAGTCTTTGTTTTAAGGCATTCACACATCTATAGTCAGACTATAAACTGGAGATATGGGGAGATGTATATGTATATGCATGTACATATGTATGTCTATATATGTATACATATGTGCTATATATTTGTGTACACACATGCGTAACACCTCAATTGAAGAAATAAACTAGAGGGAACAATGACCTAAACAATGGAGGGTCCCAGGGAGCATGGAGAATTCCCTTGTCCTGAATCATACTGTGCAGGGATAAAGCATCACATGTTACGCTCTGCCAAGCTCATGAAAGCAACACATACAATGTTTTATAAGCTCCAGAGCCTCATTCCAGGCTTATTACTTCCTGTTGAATAATCTTGTTTCTAAGCCAAACGCCGTACAGTGAAGAAAAATGAACTGCGCTTGACATTCACATACAAGTGCTTTGCTCTGCACCTACATTCCCAAAGACAGTGAGCAGGAAACATGACTGGGGGCACTAAGAGCATCCCAGCCATGAACTTACAGGAGGAATGGATGCTGGGGAAGCTTTTGCGGCCCTCGGACACCAGATCGGGGTCACCTGTGCAGTGCATTTCCGAGTTCATCACTCCATCTGGAAAGCAGCGGTAAAAGAAATCGGGGCGAGGTCTACAAAAGACACCATGGACATTTTCAATATAAAATGTTGCCATCACAAATGACCCCAAGCTGAACCCCCAACTCCCCACTGCCCCTAGCTCCTTCCTCAGCCCCCTTGGCCATCAACACTGGAGCTCCCCACAGAATCCCCTAGACACAGGCATTTGAGGAAAAGCTCAGGCTTTGGTGTCAGAAAAATCTGAGTTGGCGCTCCCACGTACCACTTACTCGCTTTATGACCTTGGGAAGGTCACTTGGTCTCCCCTAGCTTCAGTTTCCACATCTGTAGAAGGGGAAAATCAATACTGACCCAAAGCTGAGGTCCTGAGGATAAAGTGACATGACTTACAGGAGGCACCTAAGCAGTGTCCTCTGGCTTAAGCTCCTTGTTTGACAGGTGTGAAAAGGAAGGCTTCATGCCACCCGTAGACTAAAAGTTACTTCCTGTCTTGATCTACCGCTCTATTGTTGGATATTGGCATGGATTGCTCAAATGCCAATCCATAGGTCTCATCCTGAAGAGAATGATAAATAAGTAATCCTATTTATCTACCGCTCTACTGCTTGATCTATTTCAGAGGCTGCCTCTGGGATCCAAGACTCCAGGCGCCTCGTGTCCATATATCCTGAATTTGAGTGGCCACTTGCCCTTCCTGAAATGGCAGGCCTCACCCGGCCTTACTGAGAGACCTTAAATATTCAGCTCCATGATGCAGAAGACACAGTGCCCCAGGCTGGCCTCTCTGGTCTAGGACATGGGAAAGAGACCTCTACATAGGGGTGGCCCTGGGCCTGAAGTCGAGCCTCCTGCAGCAATCACAGCTGAAGGAAGTCCTGAGTGCTTACTGGGCTTCAGACACAGTGCTAAGGTCCACACACCCATTGTGCCATATAATCCTTAGGAGAACCCTGAGGCAGAGCCTGGGGCTGTCTGTATTTCACACGTGCAAAAATGAAAGCTCTTCATTGCTCAAGGTCACACACATCCAGTAAGTGGCAAAGACGAGCTCTGAACACCAGTGCCTGGATCTTTGTGCCAACATACTTCACCGCATGCTTTACTGCCTCACTTGAATGAGGGTCCTTACACAGGTAGGTGATGGCCTATCACCTCACATTCATACTCAACTAATATTCGCTGAGCACCTACCATGGGTGAAGCTTAGCTAATGTTAGAAACACAGCACCTGCTTTCTGAGCACTCCAAGTCACAGTCCTGATCGCTGGTCCTTCAGTTCTGCAACTCAGGTAGGGCCTAAGCAGTCTACCAGAACAGCTGGGGTTCTGTCTCTCCAGTACTCAGCCAGCGTTTCTCCAAGTATGGACGTCCACCTAATGCACCAGAACCTCAGAGGGCCGAGGCCTGACAGTGAGCACTGGTCAGGGCACTGTGGTAGCTCTAAGCACACAAAGTTAAGGAAATACAGCAGCAACAGGCCACGTACTGCCTGATTTTTATCTATTTCCTGCCCCCTCAGTCCCTGGCCTGCGTCCAGTAGATAAAATAAATACTAATGTTCTGAGAGGGGATCTAGTGTGTCCCAGGCCAACAGCCAGCTAGAGTTAGTTAGGTCTTGTATTCAGATGTTTTGACGGCTCATGTCTGCAGAGACCAGCTCTTCACCAGAGTAGTCAGAAGAGAAGGAAAGATAAATGGAAAACAGAAATCATTTCTCAGGGGCAGTAAGAGAAATGTGCCGTAAGCCCAGGCTCAGATGCCAATCCATATGTCTCATCCTGAAGAGAATGATAGGTAAGAAATCCTACTTATTTATTAGAGACCAAAACTGACAAGTGAGAGGGTGTCAGGGGAGGCCTTGGGCTAGCAGTGGAAGGAACTGGAAACGCCAGCAGTGAGCTTTGTCCCACAAGAAAGTATGGTCAGTGGGCATTTCCTTGCTAGTGATCTCCTGCTTTCTAAAATAGTGAGTTCGTAATTCAAAGGAAAGATCTGTGCTAAGGATGGAAAGCTCAGAAGGACGGTCTAAGGGAGAGCTAGATGAGCTCAAATCTGTCCCATCCAGTGTCTGCTGGCCCAGCTTCCTATACAGATGACCTTCATAGTCTAAGTCACCATTTCATTCTTCTTGGAACTTACCTTCCCACTATTAATTTAATAGTGTTTGTGCAGACTCCATTCAAAGCAAGAGCCAAGGACACCGCTACAAAACAAAACCAACAGATAGAAAAATAGCAAGCTGGCTCTCAAATCAAAATCATCATCATCATTATCATCATCATCACTGTTACATTATAATACTACTTAATGACCATAGAAATAGGCATGAATACTTTGAAAACAGAGATACGTTTGGGTTGCTAGAGCAAAATATAATTACGCCAGGACTTTGGAGAGTGACTCATAAAATTCTAGGCCCCTGTGTCATGAAATTTATCTCTCCGCCTTGACTGAAATTTTCACAATCACAGAGGAGCTCATCCATCATTTTCTGGCCTGATATGAACAGATTTAATACCACAGCATGTAGAATTTCTTTTACTGGTAGCAAGAAACATAACTTTTTTTATTTCCTCCCGGCAACCTTCTCAGACATAATTCTAATCAGAGCAGCTGCTGGAATCCTACTGCAGAAAAGGACGTCCCCACTCGGCAATTATCTCATTATTGACCCATCACTGGCCGACAGCTGTCCATTTATTATCAAACAAATCACTGTTTCTGCAAAAGTGCAGAGTCCAAAAGCCTCACTGGCTTTGGAGAAGGTCTGCCCAGGCGGTGCTTTTTGCCATCTAAAACAGCAAGAACTTCTGGGATACATTATTTGATCATACAGAGCACAGGGACTTTCTCTAAACAGTTTGGGAAGACTTTGCCAGACGCAGCACAGATTGTCCCGAAGGTGGCAGGTAACATGAGTCACAGAGCTTTCACTGCAAAGATCTTGCACCTCTCTCCTGTCGTTTATTGAGAGTGCATAAAAGGCAGAGTCATCACCATCAATGTGATAGAAGGTCAAATGCCTCACAGAAGCAATAAAAACCTATTGATGCTCCATTCCACTGCTTTGTTGAATAATAAAGCATGTGAGCTACCATTTCCCTTTGGCAAATATTAACTGTTCAATACTGGCTGAGATTTATATAAGAATTTAGCAGTGAATGGGGGCATTTTCGGGAAGGAGCTGCCTAGGGCAATTCACGGCCCATCGAGAGAGACAAATATGTTGTTCTATGAGCAGAAAGTACTGTGGAATGGCCAGTACCACTAAGAGCATGAGCCACAGAGATGGGAACACAACCCACCTGTTTTTAACAAGTCATCTGAAGCAGAGAGAATGGGAGGGACACATTCAAATGAACATCTTTGTCAAAGGGAAACAAATCACCTACGTGTGAGATGGGGGCAACTGGCCATATCCGAGTGTGGCAGAAAGGAGGGACAGGCCACAGACTTGGAGGGCAGAGCGTGAATCAGCAGCACAGCACTGCCATTAAAACACGGAGCATGAAATGGGGGTGCAGAAATTGGAACTGAATATGAGGGAACTTGGAAAGATCCACTGACTGCATTCTGAACACATAGACCCTTCCTTCCTCAAATGCCAGCTCCCCTTCTCTCTGGCAAGCTCAGAGCACTGTGGAGAGGCCTCTCTCCAAGAGGGGAGAAAAAATTCCCTAGAATATCTTTGCCATGTTCTCTCCACAAACCCTGATAATTAACAGGTTGTGAGATTGCCGGGAAATTACTGTGGTCTTTTCTCTGTTAGGGCTGGCCTGCCAGGCTCACTGCTGTGTTTTCCCAGTGGGGCTGGACTCATTCTCATCCTGGTCCTAGCATGGCCTCTCTGGGAACAAGCATCCTTGGCCAATTCCCTATCACCCCACGTAGATCTTGGTGAACTTCATACACAGCCACATGGATCACTTCCCCAGCCTCTGAGCCTCGTGGGCTTATCACAGCACAGAGCCGTTCTTTAAAAAGTCTGAAGTAGCTAAGCTGGAAAATGTACGGATGTGTTATAACCACCAACAATTGGCAATTTTCCTGTCTGATCCAAACACCTGAAGGAAGCAGAAAGGTAGGAAGCTGGTGATGATATTTAACACAGTCATTTCAGCATTATAGCAGGAACCTAAACTGCTTAATATTTTTATCAGAATAGCACAACCCTCTGGGAATCAATGCAGGAGCCCCTCACTGATACCAGAGAGAAAGCTGTGCTGGGATCAGACCCATAAAAGGCTGGACAAACAGGAAAATAAATGGCCCCCATCAGGAATGCTTGTTCATTAACAATAACCCAGTGGGTCTGGTCATAAAGGCTGTTCTGTTTTTACAGCATCCCACAGCACTGTGGGTTTGAGAGAAGAGTCAAAAAGACAAACCATACTGCGTCTGATAAAAAATTTCAAAGCAACGTGTCCCGTGAGTTGGCTTGTAAGCAGCCTGTACTCAGGACACTACTGGTTATAAGCATTCCAGGGGATTAGAGGGCTTTTGTTGTTCCTTTCATTGATGTAGGAAATCAGTACTATTGTGCTTTTGTAACAGGGTTCCTAGAGTATACACACCTGACTGTTTTGCAGCCTGAATTCCGAAAAGCCCAATGCTGCATGGGGCAAACCTCACTCCTCTCAACCAATGCCAGATGCACAAACATGGCCACTGTTTACCTGGAGATGAGGGCAGCACTTGGGATCCAGGTTTGGAAGCCTGGGTTAAAGTCTGCTGAAGACATCTGAGTAAAGAAGAGCACTGAGAACTAAACCTCCTGGTTGATAGAGTCCTGAATTCCAGACAACACTGGAAAATCTACACCCACTTTTCTATCCTTGGCTTTTAAAGATCACCCACCTCCACCCCCTACTTCCAAGGCTTCCTAAAAGTAGCAATTAAAAAAAAAAAAAAAACTTCTACACACAATGGGAGGCTGTTCATCATTTTTATAGGGCAGGCTGTCATTTATTTAGGCAAACAGAACATCCAATAATTCTACCTTCTCTGTTAACATATAGCAGACAGAGTATGATGTTCAGTTTTGAAATGTCAACCCAAGGGAGATTTCGCTCAGAATGAAAAGTCTGGAGAAGGCAACTGTGAGCTACTCACTGCTGTGACAGCAGCCCCACTCCAAAAGCCGGCCGTCAGTGAGAACCACAACCATGAAAGACAGTTCTTACCCACAGTCACTTATCTTGAGACTCCATGCCAGGGGAGCCACTAGAATAAAGCATGAACTAAAGGGATTTCCAAGTGAACTGAGAGGGCCCCCAACAGCACTTTTTGGAGACTATGGTGATATCCATCCAAACACTGCCTGGCCACTCAAGACATGTGTGAAGGGACACCTACCTGCGTCCTTGGAGAATGTGACCTTTTCCCACCTCAGTTGAGGAGACTGAAACCTGTGACCAAAAGGCCAAGCCATACAAGGGCAGCCTGCGGTACACACCTGACCTGAGGGAGGGCATCGACAGGCTGGTCAGGGACTCACGGTTTTTGTGGCCAGGCTGGAGAAATGAGCTGACTCTGTCTAGGAAGTACAGAGACTCTGTCCAGGAAGTCTGGACCAAGAAACACAGTGAAGCTTGGTGGGTGGGCATCAAAGTTGAACAAGCAGACAGATTAGGGGCAGAAGCCACCACCACTGCAAGCCCAAGTCTCACATACACCAGAGACATGGGGCAGCAGAAACAAAGTCGAGGCAGAGGAGTCAGGCTGGGAGTGTCAGGAGAAGAGGGAAGGCATACTGCAGTGGTCATGAGCCAAGAGGGAGGTCTCCCCTCCTGATGGCCCAGTTCCCCATTCCAGTCCCTGTGAGGTGCCTCTGAACTTTTCCCCCTTTTTCTTGGATGTCTGTGAGATTGCTTATCAGAACCCTGTAATTAAACCCCTAATTTATTTGAGCTAATTTGAGAGGGATTCTGTTCCTTTCACCTAGATAGGGCCTAACAGAAGCCTGGTTATATAGGAAGCATTCTGTGTGCTGCTTTAGAGCAGGAGCTGCTTGTTGTCCCACACGCCCTAGATGCAGCTCTCACACTCACTCCCTTACCATGAAAAAGGGAGGACCATATTTTGCTACATTTTCATTTCCTCAAAGCCCAATAATTAACAAACACACCCTTAAGTGAAGGCTCTCATTTTCCAGACTTACTGTGCCATTGAATGGTAAGTCCATATAACACACCAAAGACAAAATTTGGGCTGAGGATTTGGGTAACTTTTAGGTGACTGTCAAAAAAAGAAAAAATCAACCTGATTTGGTTTTTCTCATGGTCAAAAAGCTGAAAACTTGGCTACAGGTTAGTTTATTTTGTTTGCTAAACAAGCCAGGTAGTTTTGGCTATCTCTTGGTGCTGTCATTTACTCAGGATTTGATTAACATGAAGACCAGAAAAACACATTTAATCCTGAAATGTCAAACTCTTGTCTCCTGCAGACATGGCTTAGCTTGGGAAGAATTTATAACAATGATGTTCTAACCAATGACAAAGATCATAACACTCTTCACATAATAGTGAACACTTAACTACCAAAATGTCTTCAAATTTAAGATGAGTTATAGAGTTTGTTTGTAATATCTATTTTATTTTACACCCGCACTTGCCCATTATTGCCTTTATGCAACAGTGTTTGGTCGAGGAGTCTGTTGTTGATTTCTGAATTGCCCAAAATGTGGGTCTATTAGCCAAAAATGTGAGACTGGACAGTCAGAGGTAACAAAGTTTTAGATTTACTTTGCCTACTGCCAAGAGCTGCCCGGAGTGTGCGCCTGAGCAGCACAGCTCTCTGGTGTGTACAGGGTGTTACGAGCATTCAGCACAATGGACAGCGACAGCGGGCGGCCTCTGACCATCCTCCATTTAGGACTGCACACTGGCTCTTATTTGGACTTAAAGTTTATCTTTATTTTATGTTATTCCTCCCCAGCTTAATTTGACCAAAAGAAAAAATCAGTTGGATGCAACTGAGATTTCTTAAATGCGATCATCTAATTAAGGCCAGCCCCATTCCCTAAAGCAGGAACGGTGAATACTCTACCTAAGAAGGCTTCCTTAATTTCAGTCTTGTCTGTTCGCCGGATAATTTTCACCACACAAATAACAGCCAGGGGTGTGAGGAAAGAAATTGCCTGGAAGAAATAACAAACAATCCCTTATGAGGACATCAGTTTGCTATCAGAAGGGCTGATTGATAATTAGTTCCCGTTAGCTTCATTTAGACTCCCTGGTTGAATAATCTTACTGAACTCCTGACCTCAAACAAAAAAAAAGGATGATGTATGTCTGTGCTTAGAGACTCCACAGACTTTAAAAATGGAAGATCTGATTGTAGGTTATAATTGATTTGTAATTGCTGAGAGCCATGTTTAAAGCAGTGACTTTTTAAATGGAAAAAAAATAGTCTATAATTATAATGAATCATGTTTGCCAGTAATTCCCCTCATGCTCTCCTCTGTGGAAGGGTGAAGAACCCTTGGCTTCCCACTCCCATCTCTCTGGAAACACGAGTGCATTTGGGACTCACTTAGAGTCAATCAATTCATTCCTTTTTGGTGTTCTTTTGTTGAATATTTATCTCTTCTGCAAAGCAGAGTTTAGTCTGTTTGCATAAAGACTCTCCTCTTCCCTTCCTCTATCCCCTTTCCTCCACATAGATGCTCAACTCAGACTTAATGAGTTAAACTGGTGGGTTTCAGATGCAACCAACACTCATTACAAAACCTACTGTGAAGTGGAAACCATGGTAGTTGCCATCAAGTCCAGGAGACTCTTACATCCTCATGATAGCTCTGTGACTGCCTCCTCCAGGCTTGAGGACTAGGTGATGCGCCTGGGAACACAGAACTGGAGAGGGGTGAGGCCAGGATTTGGGGACAATGTTTCCCTTCCCATATTGAGTCTTTATTCCAGCTTTCCATAATTAGTAAATTGTTTTTCAACATTCCACCAACCATATAAAAGGTATTTATGTTACTTCCTCATGACTATAACATCTCAGGATAACAACATCAGAAGGGACTGAACATCTTACAAATCCAGAATTGGCCTACCAGTCAGTCGTGGGAGGGCTGGGATGTAACTGTTGACCAATAGTGTTCATAATTCTGGAAATCTCCCTCTCCACTCTAGCAAGCCATCACTTTTTGGAGAGGGGCTTCCTGATGGGACTAAGGCATGGCTGGAAGATGCTCTTCTTTTTTAAATTTATTTTTTATTTTTTGAGATGGAGTCTCACTCTGTCACCAGGCTGGAGTGCAGTGGCATGATCTCCGCTCACTGCAACCTCCACCTCCCAGGTTCCAGCAATTCTCCTGCCTCAGCCTCTTGAGTAGCTGGGACTACAGGTGTGCACCACCATGCCCAGCTCATTTTTGTATTTTTAGCAGAGACAGGATTTCACTATGTTGACCAGGAGCTCTTCTTTTGTAAAAACAGAATTCACCCAAATGAATGCAGGCTTTTAAAATTATTTGAGATGCTCCACACCCTTACTACAATCAGACAGCTAGAGTTCAAATCATCCTGGGGACTCCCCTTTGGGAACTGTCTTCAGATGCCACTTGTATGAGACATGAAAAAAGCCCTCTCCTCACCTGTCACTATTTATTTCTGACCAGAAGTGGTAGTAACCAGTTTGATGATTCAGCTGTGGCCCTGAATGATTTAGACTGTTTAAAAGTCAAATAAGCAAGTCTTGCCACCATGGAGGGTATTCAGGTGCTAAAGGCAGATGCATGAGAGGAGATTCAGAACCACTACAGAGAAAGCAGAGGATTCCCTTGGGGGCTATTCAGAAGGGCAACACTCATGAGTTAAGAGGTCCAGTAAGTCTGTGAAAGTTGCCGTAAGTTATTGGGCAGCTCTCACACCTAAATAACTATATGGCTTGTTAAAGTACTGATTTCCTCAAACATGCTTATATAGCAGGCCTAGAAATGTATATTTTTACCAGTATCTCAAATGGTACTGATGCTGATGATTGAGAATTATGCCTTAGACTTTTGACTCTCGCATTTAGTGCTTAAAGAACAAGAACTGAAGCACCACTTACTAAAGTCCAACGTTATGGTCAAGGCCAAAGAAGTCCTTGTTTCTCCAAATCCAAACATGAAGCCCACCAGCTTACCTTTCTGTTTTCTGTCCCTTCAAGCACTGCATACAGACCAGGCAATGTGCTCCCAAATAGGAGAAAGCAACTCACCAAATAGGGGATGGCCCAGTAATGACCACCAATTCAGCGTTTATATAGGAGAACAACACGGTTCTGAAGGAAATATTTCAAGACAATCCCAGCTGGTATAATCTAAGGTTAGGCAATAATGAAACCCTAGAAAAAAATTTGAGTTGGGATGACTTGCCCAATGAGGCTTCCAAAGGAAATTCCAGAGCAGAAAGTCACTGCCCACACAAGAGATGTGGGTGCCAGGTGGGAGGTGCTCAGGATCAAGGTCAAGTGTGCAGGCTGAAGAATTCATTAGAGCTGCTCAATGACTTCAAGCTAGTGGCCTGATGGTCCAGTGATCTCCTTTAGAACCGTTGCCTGCCTCAACTTGCCTCTTCCTAATTGGACCTTCACCTCTACTTCCCGAACAAGGCTGGACTTAATTTAACTCATGCTACAACTTCCCTAGGTAGATGTATTTTGGTGTCTAGGACCACTATCAACTGCTCTTGAGCCAAGGCTAAGCACCCAGGAGGGCCCAAGGCTCCCCACCTCAAGGGCTTCCCAGGCGAGGAAATGCAGCCTTCAAAGTGCCGTGTGGCTGCAGCCAGAGTGGCTTCAGCAGAGGTGACTGTGTGATTGCAAGATGTGGCTTGTTTCCTCCTCTCATCCTAACAGCAATGGGCCGTGGTGTCTCATTTCTTCTTCTGGAAATGTATCAGCCATATCCTTGGGTAGCAGGGTCCATGAATCAGGATGGATAGAGACATAGTTACATGTATCATTCACCCCCTTGTATACAAACATTTTTTAACTGAAAGTTGGAATTAAGAGGTGAACTTCAGAAGCCAACACATTAGGAAAACAACCTCCTCCTGGGGCAAAACACCTGTGAACTGAGTGAAGGAGGAATGAAGAGAGTAAGCACCCCACCACCTCACTTTCACTCAGCAAAGCAGATTGAATTGAAGTCAGTGCATATGCATTCCACTCTTCGGACAAAGGCCATTGGTAGCTGCGGTTCTGCTGCTCGGGCCAGGGGAGCAGATGACGATGGACAGAGGGACATAAGTTGGGGATGTTCCCTTGTACCTCCACACATGGGCAGAGATGGGGGGAAAACATGAGCAAGCAAAATCTCCCTTGGTATTGTTTTCTCTTCTGTTAATGTTTCCATGTCTAATTTTAAAAGAATCAAACCCAAGGAAATCCTAGGATGAGCCCAGGGTAGGAAGATGGGGAGTGGTCAGTGCTTATTAAATGAGACCTGAGAGAAAACAAAGAATTCCAGACAAACACTGCTGCAGAATTCAGAGAACATATTGAACCCTTCTTGGACTTGAGTTCTGCTCACTTGTTATGAGTATGGGGCTGCTGAATGTACATACCTAGGTTAGAATAACAAAGGCTAATGTGTACTGAGAACTTACTAAGGACTATGGTCTATTCTAGACACCCCATGCAAATTAACTCGTTCAATTCTCAAGCAATCCTAGGTGGAAAAGGCTCCTTACTTAACGAATAGGAAACTAAAGCACAGAGAGGTTCAGCAACCTGCTGGACGTCACACAACTAATCAAGTGGTAAAATGAGGATTTGCACCCAGGTCACCTAAATTAAGTTCTACACTTTTAACCACAATGTTACAGCAGTTCCTACCCTAGAAAGCAAACATTAAATAAAATACAGTGCATGCTTTTTTCCAAGTTAAAAAAGAAAGGCAAGGCGGCTTGTTTCCAGGTCCAGGTCATAGATAAGTCAAAGAAATTTCAGTGACAGCTGTCACAGCTTAAGCACCTACTATGTGTTAAGGACTTACCTCACACTTTCCAATCTTCTAACTACTCTGTTGTGGAAAATATTATTCCCATTGTACAAATAACCAAACTAAAAATCATAGAGATCAGTAAACACACAAATGCACACAGCTAGTGGGAACAAGATTCCCAGACTGGGTTGCCATGCTCCTGGGTTGGAGTCTTGAATCTCGGTGATTCCCTTAGCCCAAAAGCTTTATTTTACAGATGGGGAAAATGAGGCTGACAGAGATTATATATTGAACACCACCTTTAAAGTTACTAATTGTACTGCACAGTGCCCACACAAAGAGATAGCATATGCATCATTTAGCAGGATCTGGGATGTGGCTAGTTTTGTATGTAGCTTGTTCCACAGGCTGGGAAGCCAGAGCTCTGTACAAAAAAAAAAAAAAAATGTGTGTGGAATGGTCTCAGATTAAGGAGAGGTGGGTTTAAGCCCCAGCTCTGACACTTATCTGTTCTTTGTCCTTGAGCAAGTCACTTAACCTCATTAATTCTGTTTCCTTATCTATAAAATGGGTATGATGATAATAATATCTATGACAGGTATTATTCGCAGGATTTCAATTCACTAGCAATTATGGAATGCTGATTAGGTACCATGCACTAAGTAAAGTGCCATAGGTCTGTCATCCCCATTTGATGTTCTCTACAGCTTGATGAGACACGTTCTTAAAGACGCCTTTCACAGATGAAGAAAGTAAAGTGCCAGGAGGGGTGGTGATCTTCCACATTTGCATAGCTAGTGAGTGGCAAGCTGGGAGTTGACCCGTAGTAGGCCACTATGGAGCCCATACCAACTGCCCATCAACAGGGTCCAACAGAGAGCTACCATCCAGCAAATGCTGGCTGTTGACTAGTATTTCATTATTTTCTGGAAAAGACTGTTAAAAGGGTATCAGGATCTTGTCACCAGACATATAGGATTGAAGGATTTTCAGTTCAAGCCCACCTGCACCCTGAGATCTGAGTAGTGTGCACCTTTGAGTAAAGGAAGGAAGCTGGGGAGAGAAAAGGGAGCCTAATTCTCCCAGGCACCCTGACCATACCCTAAATGACCAACTAGGGTATGGAGCATCCACCCATGAATCAACACAGGAAGGGGCGCCAATCCCTGGCCAGTTCTACACCCAGAAAGTGGGTCATCCTCATGTGCCGATGCAAGGCACCGTGCACCATGCTGCCTGGGCACTTCCGGGAAACCACAAAATGTGGAGCAGTGTGTTTGAGGGGGGATGGCATGAGGATGCCAAGGACTTCTAACAACCAGAAGAGATCGAAGCCAGAGCAGCCCTGATGTGAGGGTGTTAGCCAGAGAGGAGCTTGTCACTAGGGTTCATTCACGTCAGACAAAACAAATCAGTGGGCCCAAAGTGCCTTCATTTCTGGCTTTTGACAGAAAGGTGTGTTGCAAAGTGATTATAAAGACAACTTTAAGACACTCAGACACTTGGAAAAGGTCCTGCTGTGGGTAAACAATTACATCCCGTCACAGATAAAAGAGCTGTCTAAGACTCTTAAAAAGAGCCTAAAAATTAAAGTGTCTATCATGATCCAGCCTTGTCTCTTTTTCTTCCTTCTTCCTCCCCAAAATGACTTCATTTCTGTCTTCCTTAGAAGCATCCTATCCCAGAATAGAAAACCCTGGTATCAAATCAACACAGTATCTATCAGTAATAGTCTATGAGAATAAATCTGGACCTATCACGGTCGAAGCAAAAAGAGAAGAGGGCAAAGAATAGGGCTTGGGTGGATTTCTTTTGGAAGCCAAGGAAAAAAGTTTGCAAAACCTATCATTCCTTAAACTCCTTACTGAGTCTTACCTATTCCTCAAGGCTTTTTAGTGAAGCACTGTCCACCTTGTGTTCATGTCTGTGCCCCTCCCTAGACTTGAAACCGTATCTTATTCATCTTTCCTCATGGCAAGTGTTTCATAACCATCCACTGAATTAGGTTGTAATTAACCAATCCAAAGCTATCCTCAGTCTAGCTCTATCCCTGCCCCATTCTTAGCCCTTACACATAGATACTCCAAACAGACTCTATTGACAGGACCCACGTGGGCTCACTCTCCATTTCTCTGCCTTTACACGCCTCTCCACCTAACCAATCACCAAAGAGGCATCAAGCAGAGTGCCTCCAAGTGAGAGTTTGCACTCACAGCCGGTGCTCAGATCCTGGTCCAGCCACTGATGGTTGTATAATCTTGGACAAGTTGTGTAATTTCCCTAGTTTTGTTTTCTCCACTGACATTATGAGATTAACAAAAGTGCTGACCTCAAAGGATTCTGAAGATTAACTGAGATGTTCTTTATAAAGTTATAAGCACAGCCCCTGAATTCAAGAAATGTTTACTGTTGTAGATGATGAAGAAGAAAGAAGAAGGAAGAAGGAAGAAGAAAGAAGGAAGAAGGAAGAAGGAAGAGGAAGAGGAAGAGGAAGAAAGAAGAAAAGAAAGAAGAAGAAAGAAGGAAGAAAGAAGAAGAAGAAGAAGAAGAAGAAGAAGAAGAAGAAGAAGAAGAAGAAGAAGAAGAAGAAGAAGAAGAAGAAGAAGACGACAACGAAGAAGAAGAAGAAGAAGAAGTTGTTCCCTAGAAGTTTACCTGGGCCTCTCCTCTGGCCCTTTTCAGATTCCATTTTGTATTAGAGTACCATCCTAATGTACCAGCGATCCTGGAGGGTCCCTGAAGGTACACCCCAAGTCTCACTGGACTTCTTATCCACTATAGCCCCTATGGTTTTCTTTACCCATAGCAGGCTCCCTGAAAATGTCCCCTGAATGTACAAAGAAACAACTACTACAGATAACAAAACATGTACCAAAAAGCAACAACTAATACCAATGAAGTTGTCCTACACAAAAAGTAGGTTTTTAAAAATGTTCTGATAAACCCCTCACACTCAGCAAGCAACCGGTACCTCTTTTGAATAAGGAAACAGCCTTCCGTAAAGGCCTTGGGCATATCCCTGAAATGCTAAGCAAGACTTCTGAGTGCATCTGAAAAGAATTCTCAGCCAGTCTCTCTGGTCAACAGGAACACTGGGTTGTCAAGGGAAACAAGCTCTTGGATTCAAACAGTTCTAACTACACCCAACTTTCAGGGTGACAGACATCACCTGAGCTAATGGCGCCACAGACAGCGAAAGTGCAAGTTAGGAGGCTTCCAGTGACATCATTGCCATTTACTCTGCACTTAATTCCCTAGCCATTATTCTGTTAATTTTCTTGTTACATTTGCCCAATTGGCTCGTCTAACTTGCACACACATGACTCTAGAAGCATTAATTATACAATAAAAGAAATCCAAGTCAATACTAGCTGCTTCTAAAAAACACCTTGGTAAGAAAGTTAGAAAGTTCACCTTTTGATTAAAACATTCCAACCAAAATTAAAGGAGACCCCAGGACTTTTCTATGTAGTAAATAAAAAAATTTGAGCTTTCAAAGAAAATCAAGCCATTTTATACATCAGTGAAAATGGATGTTCTATTACCAATTATTCTACCAACGTCTGAAGGTTTTAAAGGACCAAAATAATACAATGCTTTATATTAAATTCTTAAAACCCAGGAGAACAAATCTTTTTTATGGGGTGACAAAATATTTTTCATCTTTGCGTTATAGGTATTATAAATGTATCTACTGCTTTCCTTGTGTTATTATGGAATTGTACTAAATCGTGCAACCAAATGAACGAAATTCATCAACTGCTATTAATGAAATAAAAGGTTGAACTTATTTCATTAGGAGAATAGAGGGTATGAATCACTATGTGTGGCTGAATATCCTTCTGTTCTCTGAGAACGCCAGTGCTGAATAAGCCCTCTACTGACTAATTTCTACCACCACCAGCATGCAAATTGCTCCATCCTATTTGTGCCTGTAGCCAGAATATTTGTGGCATTTGTATCTAGACTTCAAAACAATCCATTGTTCATAAATCTAGGACACAGTCACAGATTTCTCACAACATCCCATATGAACATTCATCTCCAAATTGTGTTTTTACAACACATGAAATGTAAAATGTTATGAAAAATAGGAGTAACTGATAAATAGAAGCTTCTCCCTATTAAAGCCATTGAGTAAACTCATTACACATACACTGCTTCCTTTATTTCTAGGATTTATAGAAGATTTGAGTTACAGCAGAAATGAAAAAAGCCTGATTTTAATAGCCATGTGTTAGTAATTCCCTACTCACAACAACCCTAATTTGTCAATTTCCCTAAGATTTATAAAAATCCAGTTTACTTTCCAGTAGAAAAGTAATTATTAAGAAGCAATTAAAATAATACTTTAATGCTCGCTGGCATTATGAGCATTTCCAAGAGTTTGCAAAAACACAGATCTTTCCAATCATCACTAATTAACAAAATTTCCTCCACAAAATCAGAGGGATTTCTTTCAAAATACAAAAATGTTCCCTGTGTGTCTATGAAGTTTCTGGAGCAGTTCCCAGAGAGGCACGAGACACCATGGCAGGTCAACAGGAACAACCTTCAAACTGCTGGGAGGCTGCCCATCCAAAAGCGACATTATCGTTCCATAACAAAAAGGAGCTTAAATATTTCCTCTGCTCCAGAAAGGTTGGATGGTGATTCTCCAATTCTCCAGGGCTTCACTAGCATCAGCAAGGAGTCCCAGACACTCTGCCTCCAACCCTCAGGGCAACCTCTTGGCTGAGAGCTGAGCTCCAAGAGCTGGCTGCTAGAACCTGGTGCTGTGCTCACTAGCTATGTGACATCGGGCAAGTTCCCTCATCTCTCTTGGGATGCAGTTTTGCATCTGTGAAATGTGGACAACAATGACATCTTCCTCACTGGGACGCTGGGTGGAATTAAATTAGACCATCATTTCTTAAGCTCTCAGCAACAAGCCTGGCATGTAGGCAGTGAAATGTAAAAGGTTGTGGCAATTGCCATGTGGCATTGGGGGTGGGGGGGTAAAATTTATCTCAATATATTCACCAGCTCTATGGGTGCTTGCCCATTTATTCTAGAAGGAGAGAGACACAAGACACTCTCAAGAGGTTGAAGCACAGGGTGGTCTTATTAGTGGCCAACAACTGACCAGCTAAAACCAGAAAAGAGGTTAACAGAGCTATCTGGGTACCTTCATTTGGGCAGAATCAAGGCTTATCTTAAAAAGAGAGTGGACAGAAAATTCTCATCACTGGCTTCTAGTCTTCCTTTACTGTAACTCAGCATAGCCCAGACAAGCAAGTCCTTTCTCATTCTACAATATTGGGCAATGACTTGTAGAAAGTAGAAAAATTCCTCTTCAAAGCTCGTCTTAGTTTTAAAGTAAAATAGGCACTAGGAATAATAGCTTCTTACCCTAAAGCCTCCTATCAACTGTTAGTTCTTACACTTTAGCCCAGTTAGTTGCTCTGGCTTGTTCAGGCATGTCTAGACAGGCCGAGGCAAGTCTTAGCTTATAGCTTATGCCCCTTCCTTATTTGAAAACGTTATTGCTTCTTTAAATCCTTCATAAGCAACTTTCTCTTTTCCTTTGTTCTGCCTTGCCTTTACCTATTTAAGAAAGTTTTAAGCTGTTAGCCAATCAGGTATTAGTTTTGACTGTGAGGTCCGGCTCCAGCCAATGGAGACAGGACACAGTAGCAGGGACAAGCTGCATAAGGGATAAAAATTGCCTCCCTCCTTTGTTCAGGCATGTTCTCACCATTGTTCCATCTGTGATGAGCACCCTTTCTGCAGAAAGTAAACATTGTCTTGCTGAGAGAATTAAATCTATGTTCTTGTGCTATTTCTTTGTGGCACCAGGGAACAAGCATTTCTAACAGAGTCCTTCTCACATGACCAAGCAGCTCCTATCATGACAAGGAACTGGATTTTAATTTGATGGGCTGCTCACCTTCTCTTTCTCTCAGGCCACCCACTGTCTTCAGGGTTAGAAAAACAAAGATGAAAACTCATTTGGTTCATCTTTGAGAGAGCAGTCAAATAAGGCATGAAATCACGGTACTTACAAACATGAGGCGGGTAGGTATGTTATCTGATTGCACCAAAGGATTTTTATAGAGCCAGATCTCTTCCGGTTGGATGACTCTCTGGAACGGATCCAAAAACTCTGTAAAACTGAAACGTAAAAAGAAAAGTACATAAAGGTTAAGCGTTCTGTTGCTGCGGGAAGTTCCCAAGGAGGCCCCCCACTATGCACCCTCAGGGGGGAGAATCCAGACTGCTGCAGAGGGGGAAAGAGACAGGCCCTGCTGTCAGTTCTCACTGGTTCAAAGGCTTGGGAAGGACTGAAAGAATCACTGAGACTTTACAGACTCTTCCATCACCACCTGCCAGCAAGGACAAATTCCATGCATAAGGGAGCAGCTTTGTGTGTACAAAGACTCCAAGGACTTGGGGTTCCAAAGTAAACTGGAAACTGAAGTCAGAATGGGGCAAGGCCAGGGCAGCAACATGGTCTCTTGAAAATAAAATAGGCTTGAGGTGAAACATAAGCGAGGGAGTAACTGGCACAGCTGCCCGTGTGCTGTCTTCATTGGTTGGGCAATGAAAAGCAGTCACTGCCAAGAGAAAAACTAAGAAAGGGGCAGAAATGCAGGGGTTTGCTTTTTCAGATCTCAGCCATCAGGCCACCTCCCAGCCCTCCAGCCAATCTTTACTGAGGAACTAAGTTCGGCACCACTTCAGATGCAGTTGGAGAGGGCAAAAGAAGCCAGGTCATTTGGGGCTTTGAGTGCCAGGCTAGAGGACTTTGATTTTGAGCCAAGGAGAGGTTTGGTAAAGGAGCATGGAATGGGAATTCCAATTCAAAATGGTGGCCCTGGCCATGGTGAGGATGGGACTCGGAAGAGAGAATAGAAGGCAAGGTGGGAGGTGCTGAGGTTGTGGCAGCTGTTCCTGCAAGAGAGACTAGCAGACTGGAGAGGAAATGGATGGCATGGAGAACCTGTGGGCAGGAGTGGCTGAAGCTGATTCCTAGGCTGCTGGTTTGGGCTTCTGGAAAAAGGATTCCCATGATCCAAGATGAGGAGTGCAGGGGAGCAGGAGAGGAGGAGAAGCTCAGCTTTCTCCTCCTCTAGGAAACCCTCTAGGGTGGCCAGCAGTCTTGGTTTGTCCATAACTTTTCCAGTTTCAGCACTGAAAGTCCTATATCCCAGGAAACCCCTCAGTCTTCAGCAAACCAGAACAGTTGGTCACCTAAAGCCATCCCAGTCTCCAGACAGAATCAGGAGTCCCACAGCCCCGGTTTCTATCCCAGATTTGGGACGTTGTACGAGTATGTTCTGTTTGCAGCTTCAGCTCCCCTGTGAGGGTAGCAGGGCAGGAGCCACTCCAGGGCTGTCACCTCAGAGCCCAGTAGCACGGCTGGGCCACTGAAGGCACTCAGAGACCACAGAAGTTAACATCTATTTGGGACTTTGAACAGGTGACACTGAAACTATTCTCACTTTGATCAGCCTGACTCTCAATTCTATTGCGTATCTAAGAAACCTAAAATCCACCCATCTTCTGTGTCTCTCTCCCTGTCTCTCCCTCCCTCCTTCTCTTCCCCCTTCTCTCCCTGCCTCCTCTAACGGTGACGTTTTAAGTCCTAAAAGTCTGTATATTTATGTAATTTCGAAGAGCAGTGGTACCCATGACCGTTCTGCTCAGCACTGGGCCCCCAGCGCCTCTGCCTGGCACCCAGACATCTCTTGGTAGCTATTTGCTAGATGACTGAATGGACTCCTGCAGTGCCATCATCACAGAACTCAGTCAACCCTTCACCAACCCTGAACCTGGACCACTTCTATTACAGAATCCCTACTGCATCCCTTCACTAGGGTGCAAGTCACTTCTGCTATCAGTCTTCCAAACCTCCTCTAGAGCTGCCTGGAGGAGCACCCTCTCTGGGCATCAGAAACCTGCTCTCTGCCCCAGCTCGCCAGCTGAGCTGCTCCATGCTGTGGAGCAAGCTGCTTCCTCTCCCAGGGCCTCTGCAATGGGGGAGGCTGAACTAAATCCGAGACTTCAATTTGAGAAGGGTCAGAACCTTCTAGAAAACACCCTACCACAGACCTAAGACTCTACGTGAACAGTCTGGTAATGTGGATTTTAAAACACTATGATGGGCCAAGAGTCCCCAGCATTGAACTAAATGACACCTAAGGGTCCCAGAGCCTAGCATCCAAGGACAGGACATCCTGTAATTTAACTCTTCTCATTAACAACTCTTCCACCCACTGCAGGACAGGCTCTAGAGTCAGGTCCAGCAGCGTTCAAACCCCAACTCTGGCACATGGTGAGTCATTTAACATTTTCTGAGCCTCAGTTTCATCATCTCTGAAAGAGACACACCTTACAGAGTTGGAATGAAAGTTAAACGATGGAATATATATGTAGGGCCTGACAGAAGAGAAACAAAAACTAAATTGTATTACTATTATCATTTTACTCTAGCCTAAAGCTGCATGTTTTTATTAGACAGTTTTCGGGCTTTGTTTGATTTTGTGACAACCTACTCCCTGCTCCCAAGTGTTTTTAAGACATAATGAAATGAAGTGAAATGAAATAAATTTTGCTTGAAGGATGTCTTTAAGAATGTGTAGTATATCTCTGATAACCAAAGCTTCAGAATACTCCAGTTTCTGTAGCTACATAACAAATTACTTCAAAACATTTTATTTTGCTCATGAATTTGTGGATCAGGAAATTGAGAGGGGCTCATCCTCTAGGTAGTTCCCACTTAGCATCTCTCATGTGGGCACAGTCAACGGCTGTCCACTGACCAAGCTGTTAGCTGGAACCCCTGCTGTTGTTTTTCGTATAACAGGACACAGTCTCTCCCCTCTTACCTCAACTTCCTATTCTGGGGGTGGGGGGAATCAGTGACACTGGAGATGACTAGTTGCTGTATTATGGATTTGAGTTTCATTTGGCTATAAAACAATCTTGTTGGGAGAAGTAGGGGGAGAGAACCTCTTCCCACACACACGTTGAGACAGATCCCAACTGGTCAATGATCTTGTTTGTAAGAAAGAGATTCTGTTGGTTGACTGCCTAAAGAGAAAGGTGATTGGCCTTCAGATCATACCAACTTAGCTAGCATTGCTAACCAACTGTTGCAAGCTCTGAAAATAAAAGATCTCAAACCCCACCCCTCCACTAGAAAAACCCTTCCTCTCCAGCACTGTGGCCTCAGGGTGGTCAGAATTATTCATAGCTACTGGCTTCCCCCACAGCAGGTATCCCAGGAGAACAAGGCAGAAGCTCAAGGGCTTTTTCCAACCTAGTCTCAGAAGTTGTGTAGTGTCATCTCCAGTCAGAAGTGAATCCTAAGGTCAGTCTGGATTCCAGGGAGGGGAAATGACTCCACCCATTGACTGGGGTGTGGCAAGTTCTTACTATAGAAAAGCAGATGAATGAGGGATATGGCTGCAGCCACCTCTGAAATATACTCTGCCACCCACAGGGTGCTACTGACACTGTGATGGCCACACACTTCCACTCTGTGAGACCCCAGAACCTTGACTCCTATTTCTTCTCACACAGCCAGCCACAGGGCAATGGGACCAGGTACACCACAGAGCACCTTCCTTCCTCGTCTTGTTTGTCTTTCAGGTTTTGTTATCCTCCTGGCAATTTTTCTAAAGCCTGGTGCACCCAGCATTTTGCACAATCCCTCACTCCACCCTGAGTAGCTGCAGCCAGAACCCATCTATTAAGCAAATTATATCCTCTGGGAGCAGCAGTACTAAGAAAGATCGATGTCCCTTCTCCAGCCATGCTTCAGCCACTGGCGTCTGTCTCAAAGAACGCAGACAGTGGAGCTAATATGCAGAGGACCAAGGTCTTAATAAAGCTTAAGGATCTTAACAGGGACAGAGGAGGGCACAGAGTGGAATGGAAAGTCCTGGAGAGGTTAAAGGTGTTCCCAAGAGAGGACATGCCCAGGCCTGGAAACATCCTTCCACAAGCTCTTTGGAAGTGGTTTGGAATCCAAGAAATGGGATCCCTGCTTCTAGGGAAGGTGTGAAGGCGTGGTCTCCAGCAGTGTGTTACATTGGCGGTTCCCAAACTTTAATGTGTCCAGGGATCACTGGGAGGCTTGTGACCGCAGATACAGAGACAGCAGGTTCAGAAAAGACCTTAGAGCTAGCATTTCCAGCAAGCTCCTGGGGGTGCCATGCTGCCGATTTGTAGATCAAACCTTGAGTCACAAGGGTCCAGGGCAGCAGCATCTTGTGGGATCTTGTTAAAAATGCAGAATCTCCAGCCCCACCCCAGACCCAGTAGATCAGAGTCTGCATTTAACATGATCCCCAGGGAATCTTCTCCATGACTGTGGTAGAAGGTGGGTCACATCCATGTATTACATTGGTGCAAAAGTAATTGCAGTTGCTGCCTTTTTTTTTTTTTAAAGCATAGCAAAAACCCCAATTGCCTATGCACCAACCCAGTACAATCTAAATCTAAACCCACCTCACAAAGTCATTAAAATCATCTCAAGCACCACTTGTGTCATGGGGGGAGAAAAAAAATGTAGAAAACAAAATGAAAACTCAAAGGCACCAGAGCCTGAAGCCATTCAGTGTAGAGGACTATAGCCTGGCCAGCCTTGGTAGCTCGCAAGTGTCAGTATATTCCTGGCCAGCATAATTATGGACGTCCTTGAGTTTTTTAAGAAAAGGTTAAAGAAATTGCAGCAACTCTTTGACCACTAGAAGGTGGGTAAAACCATTTAGTTTACTTTTATTTCCAATAAATACAGAAATAAAGCCCAGAAGGCTCTGACAGATCCAAGGATGCAGAGGTCTTTTGGGGATGAGGGTCAGGCCTGTTGTTCTCACTGTGAAGGCCTTTCCCCTTCTCTGCAAAGCCTTCATTAAGAATAGAAGAGCTTTTGGGAGGCCAAGGCGGGTGGATCACATGAGGCAAGGAGTTCGAGACAAGCCTGGCCAACATGGCGAAACCCTTTCTCTACTAAAAACAAAAAATTAGCCGGGTGTAGTGGTGCGTGCCTGTAATCCCAGCTACTTGGAAGGCTGAGGCAAGAGAATTGCTTGAACCCAGGAGGTGGAGGTTGCAATGAGCCAAGATCATGCCACTGCACTCCAGCCTGGGTG